GGGTTTTTTTTGGGGGGGGGACAATATGCTGACTCTGTAACCCACTTAGAAAGGACTGTAAAGCANCCCTTCATGACTCGTGGACTTCAACTCCCAGAATTCCTGAGCCAGCATGGCTCAGCTTGGAAACCTCTCCCTTTTCCCTCAGCATCGCTGGCTCAGGAATTCTGGGAGTTGAAGTCCACGAGTCATAAAAGAGCCAAGGTTGCCTACCCCTGGTCTAGACATACCCTGGAATGAGGAATTCTGGGAGTTGAAGTCCACGAGTCATCAAGGGAGCCATAGTTCCCCCATGCTGGCTCAGGAATTCTGGGAGTTGAAGTCCACGAGTCATAGAAGAGCCAAGGTTGCCTACCCCTGGGCTAAAGGAAGGCAGAGAGGCCCACATTTTCATTCAATGGCCTGTAGAGGGCTACAGAGGGGTGACATCCCAAAGCTGGTTAGCAGTAACCTTGGTTAGTTTTCTTCTGCGACTTACCTTGTCAGGCTAATCCAAAAAGTTGATTTGCTTATGCTTCAGTGGGTTGGGCAACTGCCCCCAATTAAGTCAAATACAGCCCGGTGGAATCAGGGAACCAGAACTTGATAGAACTAAGGTGAACAATTAGGCCAAAATTCAGTTAGTCCTCGATTTACGACCACAATGTTCTGTTGCTAAGTGAGACAAGTCCTTAAGTGAGGTTTGTCCCATCCTCCCACCCGTCTTGCTACGGTTGTTAACTAAATCCGGCTTTCCCGCTGATTTTGCTTGTCAGATCACAAAAGGAGATCACATGACTCAGCACACTGCAACAGTCCTAAGTACATGCCAGTGGCCCGCAGTGGTAACGTTAACAACACGGGCGTTAAGTGAATCCGGCTTTCCCGTTGACTTTGCTCATCAGAAAGTCACAAAAGGAGATGATCACATGAGCCCAGCACACTGCAACCGTCATTAAGTACATGCCAGTGGCCTGCATTTTAATCACGCTGATTATTGGGATGCTGCGACAGCCATTAAGCGTGAGGGCATTTGTCAGTCACTCTTTTTTTCAGTGCTGTTGTAACTTTGAACAATCCCTAACTGAACGGTTGTAAATTGAGGACGATCTGTTCTTTGGCTATTGTGTATTTTCAAATAATGTTTCGGGGTTGTTCTGCTCCCTAGCACAGATACGATTTGCTGCATGTTGCACGGTCCATCGGCTACCGCCATTTCTGTCTCGGCGGGAAATGAAAACGGAATCTTTTCTGATTTGACTCTATTTCAGGGATCTCTAAACATGGCGGGTTTCAGACCTGGGGACTTCATTTCCCAGAATTCTTCAGCCAGTCTTGCTGGCGAGGGCAACCTTGGCTCTTTTATGATTTATGGACTTCAACTCCCAGAATTCCTGAGCCAGCCATGCTGAGGGGAAAGGGAGAGGTTTCCAAGCTGAGCCATGCTGGCTCAGGAATTCTGGGAGTTGAAGTCCACGAGTCATAAAAGGGCCAGATTTGAAGACCCCTGGCCTAGACCAGGGATAGGCAACCTTGGCTCTTTTATGACTCATGGACTTCAACTCCCAGAATTCCTGAGCCAGCCACGCTGAGGGGAAAGGGAGAGGTTTCCAAGCTGAGCCATGCTGGCTCAGGAATTCTGGGAGTTGAAGTCCACGAGTCATGAAGGGGCCAAGGTTGCCTACCCCTGGGCTAGGAAATTCTGGGAGCTGAAGTCCACAAGGCTTAAAAGCTACCAAGACTGAAATCCCCTGCCCTATCAATTCATCCCCATGATGCATTGCAACAACAAACCATAATTCATTTTCTTAAAAATGAATTATTTCTGGATACTTTCAAGATTTTTCGGAAATGTGATTAATGAATGGGCAAGAAAAGCAGGCTACACCTGAAATCCAACACAAAAGATTTCATTATCCGTACATCCTAATTTTGGGAAAGGGCTGCTGCAGAAGTGTATTCCAGGTAGTCCTCGACTTACGACGACAGGAACCGGAACATTCACCATTAAGCGGTGCAGTGAGGCCTGAGGTGACCGGACACCGGATTTTATGGCCTTTTTGTCATGATCGCTACGCAAATTAGCACAGATGTCACATGATCACAACTTGCAACCTTCCCTGCCAGCTTGTGAGAAGCTGGCTGGGAAGGTCACAAATGACAATCACAAGAAGGTGGGATGTTGTCACGATCATAATAAATGCATTAAATAAGTGCACCAGCTGGGGTGGCGCAGTGGTTACAATGCAGTATTGCAGGCAAACTCTGCCCACTGCCGGGAGTTCGATCCCGACCAAGGCTCAAGGTTGACTCAGCCTTCCATCCTTACGAGGTCGGTAAAATGAGGACCCAGATTGTGGGTTTTTTTTGGGGGGGGGACAATATGCTGACTCTGTAACCCACTTAGAAAGGACTGTAAAGCACTATGAAGCAGTATATAAGTCTTAAGCGCTGTGGCCAAGCGACTAAATCGTGATCGCGTGACTGCAGGGCTTCGACAGCGGTTGTGAAGTGTGAGAAACAAATGGTTGTTAAGTCGAGGATTGCCTGTATTCTCAAGCCAGTCTGTAGTCAGCACGCTCTGCAAGGGAAATGTTTTACACACTCCGTTCTGAACAAAAAAACGGGTGTGTTTGCACACTGACCCGCAATGTCTTAAAGAAGGAATCAAACCGAAAGAAAATAATAATCCCGACTGTCCCTTTTTTTATCGCAATCATCTTGCATTTGATCTTTTTCTTTTCCTTCGAGATGGTTTTCTTTAATATAATTTTTTTAAGTCATTCCCCAACCTTCCCACCCCCTCACTTTAAATACACAACAGAAAGACAAATCCCTCCCACCCGCCCCCAGTTCTGGGGTGTGGAGTTGTGGGGCGAAGGAGAGTTGAGAACGGGGTGATGGATCGGCTGTTCTTCCGTTCAGCCTTCCTAACTACCCCTCTTGTAGTTTGTTTGGTATCTGTGTAAGGGTGGTGGGTTTTCCAATTTTTTTTTTTTGCGTCTCCTTCTTTAAACCCACAAGTTTCCATCTTCTTCGTCCAGTTCTTAAAAATTCACGTCCGTCAATTTTGTCAGCTGGAAGGGAATACAAAATACGCCGTGGGGAGGGAATCAAAAGATCGTCCCCTCCCAAAATAAATGTTACAAAGGCAGGAAAGAACGCGACGGGTTAATTTTTTTTTTCTTCTCCTTCATCTTGTGTCTTTTTTTTTTTTTTAAAAAGGAAAATTATTTCCAGTTTGCTTTTTATGACTTTTTTTTTTGTTGGTGGTGTTGGTGGGTGTTCTCTCTCTCTCTTTTTTTTTGGTTATTGTATAGAAGTTTTTTTTTTAAGAGCTTTGGATTCCTAAAGAGGGTTTTTTGAGTATATTTTTTTTTCGTTTTTTGCAAGGTTTGTCAGCACGCGGCGCCCGGAGCGGCGTCTGCGTGTTTGACGAGAGTCATTCAGTCATTCAGTGTTCTTTCTCTATCTCTCTCTCTTTTTTTAAAATTTTTTTATTTTTTTTTAAAGCCATCGGAGTAGGTTTTTTGCGTCGTTTCCCGCGCCGAGACAGAACTCGTCGTCTATCAGGAGGAAAAAGACAGTTGAGGTTGTTGGGTTTTATTTGGTTCCCCAGGACCAGAAAAGACCCAGCTGGGGGGGTGGGAAAAAGGAAGAGGAGAGAGACGAAAAAAAGAGAAAAAAAAATTACGGGAAAGAGAAAACTCTCGCCCTGTTTGGTTGCCGATCAAATCCATCAACAGTTCAGGAATTTGTCCATCCGTCCTTGACGGTCATTAATATACAAAAATGGGCAGCACATGCTTTGTTGAGGGTTGGTGTTAGGTTGATGTGGGGAGACTGAATTTATCACTTAATCCATCCCCCATCTTAAGTTTCATCTCCTCGGGTTTATCTCTTTTTTTTTTCTTCTTTTCTTTTTCTTGTCCATTCTTTCTGTTTTCTTTGTTTTTGGCCTTTTTTTTTCCCCAAGTCGGTAACGCAGTAAAAGAGTAGAAGGTTAAGTGTTAAGAGGAGGAGCTTTTATGGAAAGGGGGGGCGATGTAAAGGTGTGTAAGTGTGTGCGTGAGAGAGGAGACTTTTGAGTGTAGGGTGGTGGACGTCAAGATTGGCCAGCAACTGTCTTCAACGGGGTGAGTGAAAGAGATCAGATAGATGGTAGCACCGATGGGTCAAAGGGAGAGTTTTGGGGCCACCTGCGGTAGGGCGAACGGAGTTATGGGACATGTGGGTGAAGAATTTTGGAACGCCGATGTGAAGATGGGTGACGTGGTTTTGATACTATAAAAGGAGGGGGACATCCCAATTTCTCGGCCTCATTAAAATAGGAGGAAACTTCTTGAGATGTTCCTGGCAGGTGGGAAAGAGGTTGAAGGTGTAGCTCTGGAGCTTTTTTTTCAAGAGAGGGACCCATCTGTAGCACAGGAGGCGGAAGACTCAGGAGTACAGAAAAAGGTGGGAAGGAAATTATGGAGGAAGCAGGAAGAGGCGAGATCACGGGCTGTCGACCTCATTGGATCTGGCCACACAATCTCATGACCCAGGAGAGGGGGAAGAGGTAGGGAATTAGCATCAAGAGGTCCTCAGGGAGATGTCTAAGTGGGAGGAAGGACAGAACAGTTCAGTGTGAAGAAAAGCTACGGTAGTAGGAGAACATGTGCAACAGCCAGGGTTGAGTTGGGTACCCTCTAAAGAAGATGAAGCTTAGTAAGGACCTCAATGGACGGGTTGCCATTTGGCTCAACCTCCGGTCACCCTGTGGAAGCGGAGTGACCTTTGGAATAAAAATTGTGGCGAGGACCTGGGCCCTTGAAGTCAGCCTGGGGAGGGGACACGAGGAATATCCCTCTCGAGAAAACTTCCTGGCTGGCAGTGAGAAATGGGGGGACCTGGGTCTGAAATGAACCTTGAAGGACTGTTGGGTGGAAGTAGAGGGGTGGTCCACGCAGGCGTCCACCCACCCACAGGTTCGTTCGCTAGTCAATCTTTCTCCATTGGCGGCAGTATAGCATCCATCTCTATAAAGCTAGTAGTGTCGTAGAGGTAGAGTTACTTTTTGGATTGGAGTCCGAGTGAGGTAATTTGGATTCCTCTTTGGCAAACACCGATGCGGTTGCTGTGGTGGAGCCGGCCTTGCGCCGGTGAGCGCTGGAGCGCAGGTGGGCTCCCAGCGCCTCCCGGCCACTCACGAGGACCTCGCAGGCCAAGCAGTGGTAGGTGCACACGGGCATGCGCAGCGGAGGTGGTGCGGCTGGCGACTGGCGCCCAAAGTAGCAGAGCGCGGCTTGATGGGCGACAGCTGCCCCCTCGCTCTCAAAGGCGGCCTTGCACTGGCGACAAAGGTACTGGTGGGTCACGTCGACTGTAGAGATGCCGGGGGCCTCGGACACCTCGACGGGGGGCTCAGGTGTGGGTGTTGGGAGCAGGGGGCTGGGCAGCAGCCCCATAAGTGTCTGAGGTATGACGGGGTTCATGGGGAATAGCCCCTTCTTCATGCCGTAGAGCTGCTGAAAGTACGCCCCGGGCAGTTGCGCTCCGAAAAGAGAGGGGGCGGCTGCGGCTGCAGTGGCCGCTGCTGGCAATGGGAAGGGCAGGAACTGGCCTCCCAGCAGGGCCGGCACCGCTGCCTTCAACGTCTTGAGGTTCTTCAGCGTGGCAGCAGAGGACAAGGAGGGCTCCTGGACCGAATTTGGAGTCAGTTCAGCCTGACTGTCACTTGGGGAGGTCTCGGGAGCAGGAGCAGGCTCAGTTAAGGGGCCGACCTGGCCAGATTCGGGCGGCAGATGCTGAGGTAAGGAGAGGCCTGGCTGGGAGGAGGTCAAAGGGGAGCTCAGGATCCCCGCAGAGGAAGCAGGCGTGCCTGTTGGGGTGGGAGAAAAAAGAGAGATGAATCGAGGAAGGCTTCTCTCGCTCTTTGGGGAGGTGTGTCCTTTCCAAACGCCTCCACCCTTTTTTTCCCCTTGGTTAAAATTGCAAAACCATCTTCCTGCCTTTACAGGTTGACCATTCCCTCTCCTCCAACCTCACTACTACGAAACGGGAGTCCACCAGCAGTCCTCGATGCAAAAATGGTGGAGAGGATGGGAAATTCCTCGGCTCTCTGCATATATAATCATTTCCCTCCCCCCGTCCCCTCACAAAAAAAAGAGCAAGAAAGTAAAGGATGGAAGGTACCAAAGTGAAAATGAGGATTAACGAACCAGAGAAGGAAACCAGAAAATAAAAAAATGCGGTAGGCCAACCTTCCAGGTCAAACGTGGAGCAGAACGTAGAATTTGGGAAATGCTGGAGGACACCGTGGAACATCAATGGTGTTCCTGGAAAGATCAGAATGAGGCGTTCCTACAACAGGGAGGGCGTTCTACACTAAACGTACAGTATGTTGTAGAACAGGGCTTTTCAACCTTTTCACCCATTGTGCCACTTTTAGGATAGGACAACATCCGAGTACCACCAGTCGCCTAGCAAGGTGTCAAAAACTTGATGACCACCCCCCAAAAAAGGAAAAAAGTGATAAAGTACAGGTAGTCCTCGACTTACAACAGTTCGCTTAGTGACTGTCTGAAGTTACAATGGCACTGAAAAAAGTGCCCCCCAAGCCACAGCCGAGCAAGACACCTGCCTGCCCACCTGGCAACGCTCTTCCTCCTGTCCGAGGTTTTCATTGTTGTGAGCATTTCTGTTGAGAATTGGCAGCGGGGGTGGAGTGGGGGGTGTTTGGTTTTTATTCCCCCCATCTGCTGGGTGGATGCAGCAGGTTTTGGTCACTTCACGTGACCCTGGGACACTGTGACCGTCATAAATATGAATCAGTTGCCAAGCATCTGAATGTAAATCACAAGACCCTGGAGATGCTGCAACATTCCAGCTGATCGGCACTTCTTTTGGGCTCAGCTGAAGCGCCATGATCAGTGCTGCTTTCCAGCTGATTGGTGCTTCTTCAGGGCTCAGCAGAAGCACCAGGATCAGCGCCGAGCTCCAGCTGGAACCTGGCACTGATCCTGGCGCTTCCACTGAGCCCTGACAGCCCTGCAGCTCCAGCCATCTCTCGCTCAGGCTTGTGCGGTGCTGCCACTGGTTCAGCTCATTCCTCTCCCCCGCTGCCACTTTTCTAGGATGGTCGCGTACCACCTGCCAGGTGCCAATGTGCCACAGGTGGTACCCGTACCACTGGTTGAAAAGCCCTGTGTAGAGTACAGTGCATTGTACAGTAAAGCCCATCATGCAACTCAACTCCAAGGCTCTACAACTATCCTTGGATGCCCACCGTTCTACAATCCCACTCACCTGGCACAAAGGGGGGCTTGGTCCCAAGAGAAGATGATACGGCTGTAGGAGTCACCGGCACTCCCAGCCTGGTTGGGGAAGGTGCTCCTTTCTCTGACACCAGCTCGTAGCACTTGCTCTCACTCTTGAGCTGGGATTTGATGGCCTCCTTTAGCCGAGCTAGGTGGCCACGAGAAAAGAGGTGCCCACGACAAGAGACGTAGAAATCGTACTTGACGTCACAGTAGGGGCATTCAGATTGAGACTGAGCAGCGGAGGGGGCCTCGTCACCGCCACTGGTCCCGCCGGAAGCAGCCTTGGCCTTTTTCTCTTTCGCCCGCGCGTTCTGAAACCACACCTGGATCACCCGCTTGGGGAGTCCTATCTCCTCCCCCAGCACCTCGCACTCCTGCATGGTTGGGGTTCGATAGATCCCATAGCACACCTTCATGATCTTCAGCTGGAGGCTGGACATCTGGGTACGATACCGTCTCTGCCCGAAAGGATCGTGAAACTCACCAGAACCTCCATCCATCATTCGATTCCGGTGGCCACCGGAGAAGTCCAGGTCAGCCGAGGAGGAAGAGGAGGAAGAATCGCTCAGCTCTCCTCCAGACAAGCTTCGGTCTTCGTGCTCCTTGGGGACTTCTTCAGCCATTTCTTCCAGGCTCTGTGGTTCCATGACAACTTCTGGCTTAGTTAGAAGGGGCTGGAGGTTAACCACAGGGAGGTTGGGTGTGAAGGACCCACCATAATGGACAGGGGTGTCCCGTGGTGGAGGGTTGAACTTTGGGAAAGTGTTGGGTTGTGCTGGTGGAGGCTTGCTGGTTGGAGTGGTGACACTGGCATTACAGCGGAACTGGCCCTTTCGCTCACGAGCTCGTGTGTTCTGGAACCACACCTGGACCACTCTCTTTTTCAGCCCAACTTCCTCAGAGATGCAGTCGAGCATTTTCCGGGTGGGATTCGAATCTTGCATGTACCAGCGGTAGAGGATCTCCAGTTGCTCAGGCAAAATGGTGGTACGGAGACGCTTGTCCCTGGGTGGCTCATTATCTCCCCCGACAACACTGGCAGTTTCGCTTCCGGTGGGAGACAAGGTCCCATCCTCGTGTTTTCGCTTTTGTGCGCGTGAAGGATCTGGATTCACCGGGCGGTCGCCAAATACTAATGGGGTCGTGTCGAGGGGAGGTTGAGGACCAGTCGAAGCCAAGGGAGGGCCAGCTGCGGGCAGGTGACTAATGCGGTGGATATTGAGGAGGTCGCTGCTTGAGAATACGGCGGTGCACTGATCACAGGGGTAGTTCTTAGAAATATCTGGGGGTACCGAGTGGACAGGCTGCTCTTCTTCCACAGGTTTGTCTCCAATACCATCTGTCTTAATGTCCCCACTAGGGTCCAAAATTTCTCGTTTCTCGTCCCCTTCCTCTTCCTCCTCCTCCTCCTCCGGCCCTTCATTCTCTTCCTCACCTCCATCTTCTTCCCCCTCATCCAGCTTATCGTTGTAACACTTCTTCAGGTGGCGCATCAGCTCAAAGATGCAGCGGAAGGCTGTCCGACACTTCTTACAAGACGGCTGCACTGCAGTGTTTCCACAGTTGCCCATGCTCGCTTCGTTCCCACTGCTCTTTCGGGCTTTCTGGCGAGCATTTTGGAACCAGACCACGATGACCCGATTGGGCAACCCCAAGAGGGCAGACAAACGCTCCACCTCACCATCTTTGGGATAAGCACTCGACTCAAAGAAGGACTGCAGCGCCTGCGACTGGAACTCGGTGAATTTGGTACGGGAGAAACGCCGGGTTACAGGGAAGCTCCCGCGGGGAAGATCCAGAACTCCAGACGATGCGCTCTTACCTTCCTCTTCCTCCCCTCGAAACCAGAGAGACTTCAGGCATTCAGGAGGTACACAGGGAGTCTCGCTTTCTGGTGGGGGCATGACTACCGGCAAGGGTTGCATCAAAAACGGAGGGCAGAGAGAGGGAATCTCCAGCGGCAGGGAGGATTGCGTCACAGTGACGGTGGTATTCTCCAGGACGGTGGTGGTGACGGTTGAAACAGCTGCTGCTGCTGCTGCAGTTGTGGTGATCGCAGTTGTCTCAATTGGGAGCACAGGAGGAGGGGGGGGATACATGCTGTCGTAACTCTTCCGGAACTGCACAGCGTAGCGATTGAGTGCCTCGAAGGGCAGGAACCGCCGGTGCACGTGCTCCTCGTGGGTTTTCAGGATGAGCATGTTAGAGAACTGTTTCCCACAAGTGCCGCATTGCAGCTTGCCCGTGGGGGGACGCAGGGGCACAGCCGGGGGCACGGTGGTGGTTTGTTTGCCCTCGTTGTACTGGATCACTAGCTCGAAGCCGAAATTCTCTAGAAGGACTTTGGCTGCCGTGCGAGAAGCCTCGTTCCCGGCTTGACTTCCGTCTACTTCTTCTCCTTCAGTCTCTTCGGCTGCCTCCACCTTGGAGCTACTCGCGGCTGCGGGGGCCGGTTCTTCTTTGGGGGGCAGGGGTGGGAGCAGGACAGGCGACGGGGTGGGGAGGGTCAGGGTTGGCGTGGCTAAGGCCAGTTTGGGGGCCACCTTCAGGTCATGTAAATAAAAGGGGAGCAGCAGCTGCTGCTGTTGTTGCTGCAGTTTAAGAAGGGACTCCGGCACCAGAGGAAAAGGGGGCAGCAGGGGTGGGGTGAAAAGAGGCGTCGGGAAGCGGGGCAGTTCTGCTGCAGGCGGGGTGAGAAAGGGGAGGGCAGGCACCTGGACGCAGCTGGGGGCCTCGCTTTCCAGAGGGGTGTCGTTGGGAGGCTCCAACTCAGCAGGGGACACGTCCGCCTTGCCCGCCGCTTCCATCTTGGCCACGCGGGAGCGCGTCTGGTGCAACACGGAGCGCATGTGGATCTCCAGAGTGGAGCTCTGGTTGTAAGAGACCCGGCAGGTGGTGCACTTGTACGGTTTGTCCGAAGAGGGCTGGAGAGCCCCGGGGGCGCCGGGCTCCCCCCGCGATGACACGGAAGGGTCAGCTGAGGCCTTTTTCATCTTGTGGAGATGGGAGACCGAATTGTAGTGCACCAGCAGGATGTTCTTCTGCGTGAAGGACTCTTTGCAAACGGTGCATTTGTAGGGACGGGCGGGATCCAAGAATTTGTCCAAGGCGAAATTGGTCGCCTTGCGGTAGGAGAGTGGGTGCCGGGAATCCAGGTTAGGCAGGACGGGTGGAGAGGCCTCGGGAGGGTCCACGAGGAGAGGGGCTGGCGGCGGCGGCTCTTCGGGGGTCATGTTTGGATGCAAAGGGTCGTCCTCGTCCGGCTCTTGAGGAGTGACGGCGGGAGGAGGAGGAGGAAGAGGAGGAGGAGGAGGTGGGGGTGGCGAGGCAGGAAGTGACTTTTCGGACTGCTCCTTAGGAGGTGGGGAGGCGGCGACACAGGGTGGGGGGGTCTCGGGGGAAAGTACCGGTGTCGGGGAGGCTTTCTCCTCTGCGGCTGGTGCTGTTGGAAGGAAAAGGAAGAGAGGAAAGAGTTACAGGACTGTCAATATCCCTACAGGAGGGAGCCAGTGTTGGCTACTAGTGAAGGCAGCAGGCTAGAAACTAGGAGACATTGAGTTCTAGTCCTACGTGAGGCATGAAAGCCAGCTGGTTGACTTTGGACCAATCACCAAGGGACACTGAGTTCTAGTCCTGCCTCAGGCATAAAAGTGGCTGGGTGACTTTGGGCCAATCACCAGGAGACTGGGAGTTCTAGTTCCATCTTAAGCGTGAAAGTCAGCTGGGTGACTTTGGGCCAATCACCAGGAGACTGGGAGTTCTAGTTCCATCTTAAGTGTGAAAGCCCAGCTGGGTGACTTTGGGCCAATCACCAGGAGACTGGGAGTTCTAGTTCCATCTTAAGTGTGAAAGCCCAGCTGGGTGACTTTGGGCCAATCACCAGGGGACTGGGAGTTCTAGTTCCATCTTAAGCATGAAAGTCAGCTGGGTGACTTTGGGCCAATCACCAGGGGACTGGGAGTTCTAGTTCCATCTTAAGCGTGAAAGCCCAGCTGGGTGACTTTGGGCCAATCACCAGGGGACTGGGAGTTCTAGTTCCATCTTAAGCGTGAAAGTCAGCTGGGTGACTTTGGGTCAATCACCAGGAGATTGGGAGTTCTAGTTCCATCTTAAGCGTGAAAGCCCAGCTGGAAGAAGAGGATAAAGGAGGAGGAAGGGAGAAAGAAGAAGATAAGAAGGAAGGAGAGGAAGGTAAAGGAGGAAGAAGATTAAAGGAGGAAGGAAGGAAGAAGACAAAGAAGGAGGAAGGAATGAAGAGAATAAAGAAGGAGGAAGAGAAAGGGGAGGATAAAGGAGGAAGGGAGGAGGAGGATAAAGGAAGAAGAGGATTAAAGGAGGAAGGAAGAGGAGGAAGAGGATTAAGGAAGGAGGAAGAGGAGGATAAAGGAGGAAGGAAGGAAGAGGGGGATGAAGGAAGGAAGAGGAAGGAAGAGGAGGATAAAGGAGGAAGGAAGAGGATAAAGGAGGAGGGAAGAGAAAGATAAAGGGGGAAGGAAGGAGGATAAAGGAGGAAAGGAGGAAGGAAAAGGGGATAAGGAGGAGGAAGGGAGAAAGGATAAGGAAGGAGGAAGGAATGAAGAGAATAAAGAAGGAGGAAGAGAAAGGGGAGGATAAAGAAGGAGGAAGGAAGAGGATAAAGGAGGAAGGGAGGAGGAGGATAAAGAAGGAGGAAGGAAGGAGGAGGAAGAGAAAGGAAGAGGATTAAAGGAAGAGGAAGGAAGAAGAAGGAAGCAAGACGAGGACAAAGAAATAGAAATAGTCCTCAGCTTATGACCAATACTGAGCCCAAGATTTCTGTTGCTAAATGAGACAGTTGTTAAGTGAGTTTTGCCCCGTTTTACGACCTTTCTTGCCACCTTGGCTAAGCCAATCACCATCATTGTTAAGTTGGTAATTCAGTTGCAAAGTGAATCCGGCTTTCCCCCCTCCCCCCTTTGATTTTGCTTGTCAGAAGGTCGCAAAAGGAGGAATCGCATGACTCTGGGACGCTGCAACCGTCGTAAATATGAGTCAGTCGCCAAGCCTCCGAAATTTCGATCACGACGGGGCTGTTGTGACGGTGGTTAAGCACGAGAAAGGCTCCTCGGTCACTTTTCCCGATGCCGTTGCGACTCCGAACGGTCGCTAAAAGAACGGCGGTAAAAGTCGAGAACTTACCTGTAAAGCGGAATAAAACAGGAGTGACGTTCACAAAGAGAAGATTAAAAATTAAGAAACAAATGAACCATTTACCAATAAAGGGGCCGGAGGCTTCCGGACCAGGCCCTTGTTCTACGCCGAGTGTCCCACCCGCTTTGGGTGGGTCAGGAGGGACAGAGACCCCGGGAACGACCCTGGTGGCGAAGGTCATCTCCACCGTGGTGGCCTGAAGTAGAAAACAGAGACAGGACCCGGTAAATATCCTTCCATCGAAGTAGCTCATCTTCCCCCATCCCTTAGCTCCAAATTCCCTCTCCGATTCTGTAAGACGGGCACTCATCCAACAGGTCATCCCAAAAGTGCTTTTTTCCAGGAGGCCACTGGGCTTCCTTGTCTTTTTTTCTTGGTAGACGTTTCGCTTCTCGTCCCAGAAGCTTCTTCAGCTCTGAATGGAAGGATTTATACTCCTTTGCAGTCATCTTGTCATTTGCATTCTTTTAGAGGAGGGGAGGCCACCTTGGCTCTTTCATGACTCGTGGACTTCAACTCCCAGAATTCCTGAGCCAGCCATGCTGAGGGGAAAGGGAGAGGTTTCCAAGCTGAGCCATGCTGGCTCAGGAATTCTGGGAGTTGAAGTCCACGAGTCATAAAAGAGCCAAGGTTGCCTACCCCTGCTCTAAAAGAAGAGAAATGACCAGATGACTGCAAAGGAGTATAAATCCTTCCTTTCCCCCCCCCCCATCCAGTCAGAACCTGAAGAAGCTTCCTGGGATGAGAAGCGAAACGTCTTCAAAGAAAAAACAAGGAAGTCCCGTTGCCTCCTGAAAAAAAAGCCCCTTTGGGGCAACTGTGCCCGCATGCATTCAACAGGTCGAGCTTCTCTCCAGTCCGGCGGGCAGAGAAACGGACTGAAGGGTGAGGGCGAGCGGCTAAGGTCCCCTCCTCCCCTCCCCGGGAGGCCCGTGGCCCTTGCACCCACCACCAGCAGCAGCTTCTCCACACATTCGGCCACCACGTTGTGAACGTGGCTGAGGTGGAAGTGGAGGTTCGCCCGGCCGACCAGCTGTTCTTGGCACAGCGGGCAATGGAACTTGGGCTGCACGGCATGCTGGGAAACGGTGTGGGCCCGCACGGCTTCGGCTGATTGGTCGGCGTAGTTGCAATAGGGGCAGCAGAAGACCTGGGCAGCACGAGAAGGATTGAAAAGAGAAAAAAACCAGAAGCCATTAGAAAGGAGAGTAGCCGGAACACCAGAAAGGGTTCAAATGGATCAAGTCGCTGGCTTCGATCAACCGCCGTTTCCCAAGATGCATCTGGAGAGGCTGGGGAAAAAAAGTCAAGATGGTGGCTGCAACTGGGTTTGTGTTTTTTTACATGCACCTGGCATGCAACAGTATGGCTGGCTGGGGAATTCTGGGAGTTGAAGTCTGCAAGTCTTCAAAGATCCCTGTGATAAGGTGATTGTCACAGCCCATTAGAGTTGCCTGCCAGGGTCATGTAGAAAAGACTTGTTGTGTCCACAAGGAGGGAGGGAGGGAGGAAGGAAGGGAAGGAAGGAAGGAAGGAAGGAAGGAAGGGAGGGACGGAAGGAAGGAAGGAGGCAGGGAAGGAAGGAGGGAGGGAGGGAACGACAGAGGGAGGGAAGGAATGAAAAGGACGGAAGGAGGGAAGGGAGGAGGGAAGGAAGGAGGGAGACGGAGGGAAGAAAGGAGGGAGGGAGGGAAGGAAGGAGGGAATGAAGGAGGAAAGGAATGAGGGAGGGAAGGAAGAAGGGAGAGAGAGAAGGAGGGAAGGAGGGAACGACCGAGGGAGGGAAGGAATGAAAAGGACGGAGGGAGGGAAGGGAGGAGGGAGGGAAGGAAGGAGGGAGACGGAGGGAAGAAAGGAGGGAGGGAATGAAGGAAGGAGGGAAGCAGGGAGGGAGGGAAGGAAGGAGGGAATGAAGGAGGAAAGGAATGAGGGAGGGAAGGAAGGAAGCAAGAAGGGAGAGAAGGAAGGAGGGAAGGAAGAAGGGAGGGAGGAAATGAAGGAAGGGACAAAAGGGAGAGAATGAAGGAGGAAGGGAAAAAAGGAAATCGAGGAAATGAAGGGACAGAAGGAGGGAAGGAAGGAAGGAAGGAGGGAGGGGAGGAGGAAAGGGAGGGAAGGAAGGAGGGAGGGAGGGAGGGAGGGGGAGGGAGGGAAGAAAGAAAGGAGGGAGGGAGGGAAGGATGGACGGAAGGAGTGAGTGAGGGAAGGAAGGAATTCAGAGTTATTCTTAACCCACCACCTAAGAGCCAGGAGTTAATTCGTATTTTTGCTCAATTTGGAACACCAACGAGGCTTATCCCCGCGCCCTTCTGCACAGTGGTCTTCCTTTTTTAAAAAATAATAATAATAATAATTCTTAAAAAACGACCGACCGACAGAAGCCTCTGGAATCTGAACAAAAGCAGAGAGCAGGGGGCTTCCAGCTCCCCACCTCGAGGTGGCTGGTTGAACAAAGCCGGACTCCCGAAAAGGGCAAAGCAAGGGCCATCATCCCCTGCCCCTGCATCCCTCAGGCCCCTAGCCCACCCACCCCTCCAGGAAGGCCGGCAATTAACGCCTGGCCCAGAAGGGCTCCAAGAAGCCGAGCGGCTTTTTCAAAACCCTTTTCACCGCTCCTGTTATTAGTCGGTATAAAACTCCAATCCGTCATTATAATTTTAAACAGGAGGGGAAAATAAAAAAATAAAAAAGAAGAAAGAAAGAAAGAAAAATCTCGGCTAGGCTGGCAGTCCCAGCGCCTGGCGCTCCTCTGATTAACCTCCTCCGTTCACAGTTGACTGCACCCAATTGGCGTTGTGTGGGCGAAGCACCTCGCTCGCCCCCCCCTTTCCGCCTCCGCAGACAGCGCTAATTAATTTTAGTCTTAATTCAGAAACATCTGCCCTCCTGCCGGGAGTCGGGAGGCAGACCTGTGCGTTTGGGGAAAGGGGGCAGTGGGGGGGGGGTTAAGACCCTGCAGTCCGAAATCTGGGTGGAAGGCAGGCGTGGGACGGGGGGGGCGACCGATGGCGGGAAGTGTTGTTAAAAAGGGCCCCCTCCCCACAAAAACCCAAGAAACGGATCAACTCACCGTAGTGTCCCCCGCGCTGCCAGAAGCTGCGGCTTCGGTCTCGTCGGAATCTGGAGGGGAAAAAAAAAACCACACTTGGCCGATAAAGGAGGGAGAAAGAAAGAAAGAAAGAAGGAAGGAAGGAAGGAAGGAAGGAAGGAAGGAAGGAAGGAAGGAAGAAAGAAAGAAAGAAAGAAAGAAAGAAAGAGAAGGAAGGAAGGAAGGAAGGAAGGAAGGAAGGAAGAGAGAGAGAGAGGGAGGGAGGGAAGAAGGAAAGAAAAAGAAAGAAAGAAAGAAAGAAAGAAAGAAAGAGGGAGGGAGGGAGGAAGGAAAGAAAGAAAGAAAGGAAGAAAGAGGAAGAAAGATGAAGGATGGGAGGGAGACAATAGGAAGGGGGAAGGGAAGGAGGAAGGAAGAAAAAGGAAGGAAGGAAAGAGGGAAGGAAGGAATGAAATAGGAGTGGGAAGGGAGGGAGGGAGGAAGAAGGAAGGAAGGAAGGAGGAAAAAAGGGGAGGGAATAATGAGGGGTGGGAAGGAAGGAAGAGGGAGGGAATAGGGAGGGAGGGAGGAGGAAGGAAGGAAGAAAAAGGAAGAAAGGGATGGAAATAGGGAAGGAAGGAAAAGAAAGAAGGAACAAAGAAAATAGGGAGGAGGGGGAAGGGAGATAGAAGGAAAAAGAGAAGGGAATAGGAGGGAGGGGGAGGTTGGGAGGAGGAAAGAAGGAAGGAAGGGAAGGGAAGAGAGAGATGGGAAGGAAGAGAGAAGAAGAAAGAAAAGAAAAGAAAGGCCACCAAGTGTGCAATTTGCACGAAGCTGGAAGGGTGGGTGCTGGGGAGAGATTGGGACATGCAATTCTCTCTCTCTCTCTCTCTCTCTCTCTCTCTCTCTCTCTCTCTCTCTCTCACACACACACACACACACACACACACACACACATGTAGTCCTTGGCTTACGACTTATGATTGAGCCCCAAATTTCTCTCACTAAAGCGAGAAGTGTGGGGGGAAAAACGGTCCTAACTGAAGCAACACAAATCCTGGCTTGTTGTTCAGACCATGATTGAGTAAAAACTCTCGGTGGATTGAGGCTTCCCCCCAATGGGGAGTCCCCACAGTGGGGTTTTTTGGGGGGGTCATTACCCCCCTCTTCCCCAGAGCAAGGCAAAAAAAAGATCCATCTTTCGTTGATTGACACAAAATACCTCAGGTTTTCACCTCACGATTCGTTTGTCGACCGTTTCGAAGTGACAACGGCACCAGAAAAAACTAATTCACGATCGTTTTTCCACATTGACGAGCGTTGCAGCATCGCCATGGTCACGTGATTAAAATTCAGATGCTCGGCGACCGGTTCGTATTTACGACGGTGGCCAGCGTCCCGGGGTTACGTGATTCCCCCTTTTTGCGGCGAAGTCAATGGGGGGAGGGAGGGATCCAGCTTCACTTAACAACCGGGTTACGAATGTATCAACTGTGGTGATTTTTACTTAACAATCAAGGAAAGCCAGGTCGTAAAAGGGGGCACCGTTCGCTTCGCAGACGTCTCGCTTAGCAACAGAAACCTGGAGCTCGGTTGTGGTCGTAAGTAGAGGACTACCTGTAGGGGGCACGTAGCTTGCATTAACCCACGGAGTTACTCACCAGCGATCCACGTTTTATTCTGCTTTTCTCTTTCAGGGGTTAAGCTATCCGGGACAGATTCCTTCCCTGGAAACGGAGAGAACAAGGTGAGAATAAAGGTAAATTTGAAAGGACAGAAGCGAGGTTCTCCCAAACTAACACAGGTCGTTCCTCAACTTACAACAGTTCATTTAGCGACCAATCAAAGTTAAAACCCCACTGGGAAAAAAAAGGGACTTATGATCGTTTTTCAGCCTTACGACCGTTGCAGCGTCACGTGATTTACCTCCTAGCAACTGGTTCATACTTACGACGACCGCAGCATCCCCGTAATCATGTGATCAAAATAGGATGCTTGGAAACTAGCCAGTATTTATGACGGTCGCAGTGTCCCCGGGGGCCACGTGACCCCCTTTTGCGACCTGTCTAGCCAAGTCAAACGGGGGAAGCCAGATTCGCGTTAACAACCGGGTTACTCATGTATCAAACTGCAGCGATTCGCTTAAGGACGGTAGCAGGAAAGGTTGTAAAATGGGGCAAAACTCGCTTAACTGATGTCTCGCTTAGCGGCAGAAATTCGGGGTTCACTTGTGGGGATCGTTAAGACGGGGACGACCTGTAGTGGGTGGTTTTCCAATGTGCTGGAAGTACCGTCCCCCCATCTTCCTGGAACTTGTAACCCGGTCTGGGTTTGCGCCCACTTCCCTAAGGCGGCAAACCAAATTTGCGTAAGCTAACATGTTTCACCCTCTCTTTCACCATCCAGGGGGCCTGGAAGACCACAAACTCGAAAAGATGCCACAAAAAAAAAAGACACAGAGAAAGCGGGAATCCCATCCAGAAGGCTGTGGAAAAACCTGAATGACGCACGATGCAGGATTTTATCCTCATTGGCGACTAATTAAACTCTCAACCTGAGTGGGATCGTTAATATTGAACGGGCTGGCCTCCCTGGCCGATAGACGCGGCCCGGCTACCATCGGCAACTCAATTAACACCGCTCAATACGCCCGCCAGGATACAAAGACCCCCATTTCTCACTGACAAGGTGCTAGTCCCCCTCGCAACACGTACGGCTCGCCGAGGAGAATTCCCGCATCCCTAAGCCCGCCCGGGTCCCGTTCAGTCGCGGCTTTAGCCTGGACGCGCCGCCGTTCTCTCCGGCCGTCCCTTCACCTTTTCTGCAAAAGGTGAAATCTTTGGCCCATGGTCCTGAGCCATCACTCCGCTTTCAATCATGCGTGCCCACCGGCACCCCCTCCCCTCTATTTTTTTTAAAAAAATCCCGTCCTGCTGATCCCTGTTGACTTCCGCTGCCAGGTAAGGACGCAAGGTCAGGTGGATTGCAACCAATAAATCAGAGCTGGGAAGATGGCCAATAGCTACCGCTTTGGATAGGGTTCCCTAGTATGGGAAGGGGAGAGGGAAGGGGAGGGTGGGCAGCCTCAGCTGGGGGAGGGAGAAATATATATATCTTTCCTTCCACCCCCTCCCCTTCAACATCTCCCCGGCAGTGGTCTGCGTACATATCTCGGTCTCATTTCTCTTCTCCTTCATTCTTCCAGCAGGTTGCTAGGCAACCTCCCCCAGTATCTGTCATAATCCATTATGAAGCTGGGGGGGGGGCACGGAGAGAAGGAGGCTGGCGGGGGCTGGAAGAGAGGAGGAAGAACGGGGAAGTACCACGCTCAGCGGTTCTGCACTCCGACATCCACGGAGCGAGACCCGGAGTTAAACACTCAGCAGGTTTAAGAAATTGCACAGCGTTTGCTACCCCCTGGGGAGGGGGTCTCAATTCCCACCCACCCTCAGGAACGAGAACGTGTCCCCTTCTGCAGACCTCCTCATGGTGGCACGCTTGTGGGTCCTTCCCCGCTGCTCCCCGCCCATCAATCTCCCTCAAAATCGCCTCTTCGCGTCCGTTGGGACCCAACGCCCGTCGGCGTGGCCCACGGCGTCACCCTGCCCGTGATCCGAGCGGCGCGGCGGTTACCTGTGGCGTTGGCGGGCACAAAGCAGACGTATCTTTCGAGACCCAACGTGCCTTCGCCGTTCTGCAGGAGCTGGAGGCGCCACTGGCCGTGAGCCTCGCGGTGGTGGGGCGAGCGTAAATGCTGGATCATGGCCAGGCGGTTGGGCAAGTCCGTGTTGCACAGGAGGCAGCGGAACTGCGTGGGTTCGGTGGCGGGCGGGGTTGCCGAGGTGGTCTCCATTTCCAGAAGGAACTAGGGGAGAAGCGAGAAAGGGATTGCAGGTTCTTAGGAGAACAGCCCTGTGTCTTCCCCATCAGCATTCCTAGTGGGACCACTGGTTTCCTAGTGAGACTACTGGTCTGTCCCCTCCTCCTTTCTCCACACCCGCTTTGGACTTAAAACCTACTTGTAGAGGCCTTCATCTCTACCCCTTTCTAGAATAGGGCTGGAAGGGACCTTGGAGGTCTTCTAGTCCAACCCCCTCCCCTCGTTCAAGCAGGAGAGACTGTACTAATTCCGGCCAACTGGCTGTCCGATCTCTTCTTAAAAACCTCCAGTGATGGAGCACCCAGAAATTCCGGAGGCAAGCCGTTCCACTGATTAATTGTTCTCGCCTGTCAGGACATTGTTTCCTAGGTTGGATTTCTCTTTAATGATCTATTTTCCAAAAGGACCGGGAGGCAGGAGAAGAAACAACGGAGGGAAACTAATCAAGGAGAGAAGCAACCTGGAAAGAAGGAGAAACGTCCTAACAGTGAGAACAATTAACCAGCCGAACGGCTTTGCCTTCAGTACTTGTGGGTGTTCCATCGTTGGAGGCTTTTAAGAAGAGACTGGACAGCCACTTGTCTGAAATGGTGTAGCAGGGGTTCCCAACCGGGGGTGTGAGACGATATTCCAGGGGGTGCGAAAACTGGGGTTTTCAAAATTAGAGTGTATATTTCGTAATTCGTTGCCGTTATTTCGAACTTTTGTAAGCGGGTGCGAGAATATATCAGAAGCATTCGAGGGGTGCGGGGTATAGAAAAGGTTGGAAGCCGCTGTGGTATAGGGTCTCCTGCTTGAGCAGGGGGTTGGACTAGAACAGGGGTCCCGAACCCCCGGTTCGTGGACCGGTACTGTGGCATACCAGCAACCGGTCTGCACAAACAAGCAAAGCCCCATCCGCGAGATGCAGGCAGCACACAAAACCACGCACATTCCGGTCCGCGGACAAACCTCTCTCCATGGAACCGGTCCCCTGGTGCCCAAAAGGTTGGGGACCTCTGGACTAGAAGACCCCCAAAGTCCCTTCCAACTTTGTTATTCTGTTATCTTCCACCCATTACTTCCTTGTCCTGCCTTCAGGTGCTTTGGAGAATAGCTTGACTCCCTCTTCTCTGGGGAAGCCCCTGAGATATTGGAAGACTTCTATCATGTCCCCCCTTGTCCTTCTCTTCATTAGACTAGACCTACCCAATTCCAGCAACCGTTCCTTGTATGTTTTAGCCTCCAGTCCTCTAAACATCTGTGTTGCTCTTCTCTGCACTTTTCCTAGGGTTCAAATTCAACCTAATCAATGTCCTTTGGGGACATCTGCTGCACCTCTTTTCAGTAACACTTGTACAGGCAGTCCTCGACTTACAACAGTCTCTTTAGTGACCGTTCGAAGTTACAGCAGCACTGAAAAAAAGTGACCTATGACCGTTTTTCACACGTCCGTTGCAGCATCCCCACGGTCAGGTAATTCTACATTATTCGGATGCTTGAGAAATGGCTCATGTTTATGACGGTTGCCGTGTTCCTGGGGGTCACGTGACTCTCTTTTGCGACCTTCCACCAAGCAAAGCCCACGGGGGATATCAGAGTCACTTAACAACTGGGTGACTAAGTTGAACAACTGCAGCAATTCACTTAACGAACGTGGCAAGGAAAACCGTAAATCGGGACAAAACTCGCTCGGTCTACGTCTCACTTAGCAACATAAACTCTGGGCTCCATTGTGGTCATAAGCCGAGGACTACCTGTACTGACTATTATTCTCCATCCTATTTTTCTCTGCCTCCTGCCCCATCTTTGTACCTTATAACCTTGCAGGGCTTCCTGGTGGCCGGTGCCCGCCGCGTGAAGTTGAATTTTTTCCTTGCTGTTGGTCTCATATTCACACAGGTTGCAATGCAGGTGAAGGGGCGGTCCCAGCGGCAGCTCCACCCCCAGGTGTGCACTCAAGCTGCCCCCTTCCCGCAGGTGAGCGGCCAGCTGGTATTTCAAGGCGTGCTTGTCGGTCTTCAGGTGAAGCTGGAAGTTGGCTTTCAACTGGGTGCCGTACGCGCAGAGGCGACACCGGTGCAGGTCCCCGGAAATTTCTTTCCATTCCACTTCGGGCAGGGAGCGTGGGGCGGAGGCGTGCCGCAGGAGGGTGTCCAGGCTGTCGGTGCTGAAGACTTGGCACACCAGGCAGCTGAACAATCTCTGGGGGGCCAGCGGATCGGGTCCGGATTGGGCTGGTGGTGAGGAGGGGGGAGCAGGTTCAGGAGAGAGAGAGGCGGGGGCTGCAGAGACGAGAAACAAAGTGGGCATGTGAGTTTCGGGTATCTACAGGGCAGGGTCTCCCAACCGTGGGAACTTTTAAGAAGTGTGGATTTCAACTCCCAGAATTCTGGGAATTGGTCCACACTTCTTAAAGTTCCCACGGTTGGGAAACACTGCTATGAAGGAATGAGAATTATGGGAAAATTATGGCTCAGTGGTTAGAATGCAATATTACAGGCTAACAGCAGTTCTATCCTGGCCGACTCAAGGTTGACTCAGCCTTCCATCCTTCCAAGTAAAATGAGGACCTAGATCAGTGGTGGCGAACCTATGGCACGTGTGCCAGAGGCGGCACTCAGAGCCCTCTCTGTGGGCACACGTGCCATGCCCCGGAGATGGCAACCGTCCCTCTTCAACCAGCTGCCCGCTAACTCGCTGAGGTCTCATGTGGCCGGATGCATCCCAGCATGGGTGGTTTCCCTCTCCCCCCTCCCATCCCTCCTGGCCTCGCATGCTCTCTTTTTCCCGGGCACGACCCACTGCATCGCCTCCTCAGCTGTCGGCCAGCCGTCCAGCTCAGAGGCGGCTTCTCTGAACTGCTGGCGGCGGGCTGCGGAGCCCCAGAGTGCGCTGCTGATGGACACTGTCGGCCCCCATGCACTCGCTGGCCTCTGTGTGTGGGGGGCGATGGTGTCAGGCAGCAGCCGCCCCGGCCCCTGCCTCGCCTTGCTCTGCGACAATGGCACCCCCGCCCAGGCTAACCTTGCCTTGCCTCACCCTGCAGGATGAGCCTCCTGCCCACTGCCCCACCTGCCAGAGACTCCCTGGATCTCCCCCAACCCTGCCCGGCCCCCACAGGCGTCCCTTCCCACAAGCAACATCGAGGTGACCATGCCCACCTTGGCCACACCCACCCACTCTGCCATGAGCACCACAGCCCTGCCCACCCAGTGGGCCACGCCCACCCGGCACCCAGCGATAAGTAAGTGGGTTTTGGGTTGCAGTTTGGGCACTCGGTCTCTAAAAGGTTCGCCATCACTGACCTAGATTGTTGGGGTAATAGGCTGACTCTGTAAAGACTAGAGAGGGCTGTAAAGCACTATGAAGGGGTACATATGTGCTATTGCTAAACTAGTTAAAATTGAGGTTGGTACCGCAGCGTGGAACAGCAAGTTGGATTATAACACATAACGTTGCGTAGACATGATGTCCATGGATGTAAGAGAGAGACAAATCAAGATGCCAGCGGAGATTCTGAAGTAATGGCGGACCATGGATGAACCACAGGGCAGGGAATACAGTCAAGCTTAGGGTCCTCGTGGGCAAAACCATGAGGTCCATATGGACATCAGGAAAGGTAGCCACTAGCGAAGGTTCTTCTTACCTGCCCCCAAGGTAGCCATCTTCCGGCCTGCCGCACTGAGATGTTGGAAGCCTCCGTTGAGCAAGAGTGGGGGTTGCTCCATGGGTTTGTCTGCCCGCAGAGGTGGGTTGCTTCCCGCGTGGGCCTGGTGGGGATGTGAGTGGTGGGCATGGCCTAGAGCCTGTGCCCCATAGAACGGAAAGAGCTCGGGCTGAGCTTTGCCTCCAGGAGGAGTCTGAGGTTGTCCCAGAAGTCCCGGTAGGGTCAACGGGAGCCCTTGATGGAGCAACAACATGTTCTGCATGTGCTTCTCGGACGTCATGTGAATCCGTAAGTTACGGGAGATGTTGGTCTCGTAACTGCACACCTTGCATTGCCAGGACGACTTGCCTTTCGACTCTTTCTCCTCAGGGGAAGACGGGGAAGGCGCCACCGGAGGAGCCACCGGTGGTCCGCTGCCTCCCGTGGCTTGGTAGCCCTGCAGGTTGGCCAGGTGTTTATCGGATTGCATGTGGATGCTGAGGTTGCCCTTTGTAGTGGTGGAGTAATTGCAGGCCTCACAGCGGTAGGGTTTGTAACCGCAGTTGTAGCTCTCTCCGCGGGCCAGTCGTGGGTGGGGACCGCCGGTACTACAGTAGGCGCAGTGGCTGTTGTTCTCCGGATGTTTCTCCTTCATGTGCACGTCCAGAGTCTGCTGGTACTTGTAATGCCAGTTGCATTTGGGACACTTGAGTGTCTTGCAGGAGTTGCGCGAATGCAGGAGCGACATGTGGCCCGACAAAGTCAACCCCGAGTACGCCATCGCCGTAAACTCTTCCCCGAAGCTAAGCGAAGGTCCTCCTCCACCATTGTGGCCGTTGCTCCCAAGTCCATTGTTGACCTCAAACCCAACCGTCACCACTTCGTTGGCCATCCCTACGCTACTCAGGCTGTCCGACAAGTCGGTGGGGCTGATGTCGCGGGCCAGCCCAATGCACGTCCGATTGGTGTCATTGGGAACGCTGTTGGCTTTGGAAACGGACTCGGCCCTGCTGATTTCGGCCGCTAGGTCCACACAAGGGATCTTGTGTATCAGTCCTTCCTTTGGGAGCTTGTTGGTGGTCATCTCTTCATTGACGTCCTCCTGGGGCGGCCCCGTGTGGTCAGAATTTGGGGGCTTGGTCAGCGGTGTCTCTGAGGGAGCGGTGTTAGCAGCCAAGGGTGCGCTGGATGTAGCTGGTGAACTTTGGTCTGGAAGCAGTTCCTTCTCTTTTTTCTTTTTATCCAGTTGTGTCGCCACCTCCTTCTCCTCCTCCTCCTCTTCTTTCTCCTTCTTCTCTTCTGGTTCCTCCTCCATGGACCTGATTGCCCAGTGCGTGCCGCCGACCCTTGAATCTTTGGTATCTGATGGCTCGCATCGTCTTTCTGGGCTCCTCTTCTCGTTTTCCTCCTCCTCCTCTTCCTCCTCCTCCTCCTCCTCCTTTACATTCACCCATCTGCTACACATTCTGGCATTGAGGTCTGCCTCGGTGGTGGGGTTATTTGGTTCTAGGAAGCCCAGGTCGGTGCCCTGGAGCACAGCCGAAGCCCCTCCATCCAAGTCCTGGTGTTTCTCGTTGCTGAGCTGCACGTCGTGCACCGTGCGGGCATGAGACGCCAAGGTGCGGCCCTGGTTGAATGAGAGGCGGCATGTCAGGCAGAGCCAGAGAGGACCCCCTGGCATCATCTTGTCTCGGCCACGGGGAGCTTCCTCATTCTCCACGGGGGAAGTGGGGTCATCTTTGGATTTGGTGGCAGCGTTTTTGGCAGATGTACTTTGAGCTGGGGCCCCGGCCAGTCGGTAACTGTAGAAGGCGCCTTGAGGGATCACCTCGCCTGGCGCTGAGGTATTCTGAGACATTTGGTCAGCAGACATAAAGCCTTGGTTAGGACCTCCACTGTCCTGGATGTGGAGAATGGACACTTGAGGAGTGGCGGTGACAGGGGAGCCCTTTGGTAAGAGAACGTGGCCATTAGCGAGGAGGTACGCCGAGCCGTCGGGAGCAAAGAAGAGCTGGGCCTCGCGCCCACCGTCCTCGTCTCTGTGGTCTTGCGGCTGGACCCCATCTTCGGCCAGCGGCAGGCCTAGAGGGAAATGGGGCGGATTTGGCAAGGACGGGCTGGGATCCGCTTGGAGCTGTGAGGTGGACGAGATGGCGGCGGGGAACTTGACCAAGCTGAGCGCGGAGGCTTGCGCACTGGCGCAGGGTCTCATGACAACGTCATCGGGACAGGGCGAGGGGGAAGAGGAAGGATCCCAGAGGGGGGGTTCTTTGGTGGGTGGCAAGGCAGGAGAGCCCTGAGCAGGCCGAACCGCAGCCCGGTCATCCTGTCCATCTGCCGGGGGGACAGCAGTGGAGGAGTGGGAGGAGGAAGAGGAGGAGGAGGAGGAGTTAGAGGGGTCGTCCATGGCGGTGCAGGCGGGAGGAGTGTGGAGGGATCATCTCAGCACAGGAGCCGAGACCCTGCAGGAAAAACAAGAGAAGACAAGCACATGTGAACCGCACCCTGTCACAAGAGGACAAAACGGTCCTCTACTCTATATGCATTTTAGCATTGTGGCTAATACAGCTAGCAATCTGTCCGAGGAACACAGGAATCTTAGGAAGTGTTCCAGCTAATCCTTGACGTACAATTCGTTTCGTGACTATCCAAAGTTACAATGGCACTGAAAAAAAGGGACTTATGGCCATTGTTCACACTTACGACCGTTGCAGCACCCTCACGGTCACGTAACCAAAATTCAGACGCTTCCCAACTGATTCATATTTATGACGGTTGTAGTGTCATCCCTTTTTGCGACCTTCTGACAAGCAAAGTCAACGGGGAAACAACCGTGGCAAGGTTGTAAAACCAGACACAGCTCACATCACGACCGCCTTGCTTAATAATGGATTTTCCAATACAGGTAGTCCTCGAACTTACAACAGTTCGTTTAGTGACCGTCCAAAGTTACAACGGCCCTGAAAAAAGCGACGTACGACTGTTTTTCACAGTTACCACCTTTGGTCACGTGATCAAAATTCAGACACTTGGCAACCGGTTGATATTTATGACGGTTGCTGTGTCCCGAGGTCACGGGATCCCCTATTGCAGCCTTCCGACAAGGAACGCCAATGGAGAAGCCGGATTCACTAACAACCGTGATACTGATTCACTTAACAACCGTGGCGTTGTAAAATGAGACACGGCTCACATCACAACTGCCTTGCTTAACAACGGTTTTTCTGGTATGCAATTGTTGTAAATCGAGGACTGCCTGTAGGGGAAAAAGCTGTTCCTTACAGAGATTTGCAATGCAAATTAACAGCACATTGACAACTGATAAGAGGGGGATTGGCCCACTGTTGTATGAAGTGTGAGTGCCGCACAATGTATTTTCTGGTTGTCCGCAAGGTGTTCAGACCTGTGTATTTTCACTCCTATGCATGGTTCTTTAGCTCTTCAGGTAGTCCTCGACTTAACAACAGTTCGTTTAGTGACTGCTCAAAGTTACGGCAATGAAAAATGTAACTTACAACTGTTTTTCACTCTTACGACCGTTGTACCATCCCCAATGGTCACGTGATCCAAATTCAGACCCTTGGCAGCTGGCTCATATTTATGACGGTCGCAGCATCCCGGGGTCACATGATCCCCTTTTGCGACTTTTTGACAAGCAGAGTCATGGGGGAAGCCAGATTCACTTAACAACCGTGTCAATAACTTAACAACTGCAGGGATTCACAACTGTGGCAAAAAAAAAAGGGCAGGAAAATGGGCCGTAAATGCTGTAAAACTCAATTAACATATATATCTCACTTGGCAACAGAAATTGTTGGGCACAAATCTGATAGTAAGTCGAGGACCGCCTGTAGTTTACTACTTTTTATAAAATTAACATTGAGCAGAATTCAGTTCAGTTTCTCGGTTTAGGATTATCCATGACTGCCTCAGTTTCCCTTGCGGCTTTTTGGAAAAATTAATTGCCCGCTCCGGATTTAAAGCCCTTCCTAGGATTCTCCGGATGAGCTAAAACTGAGCAAAAGCAGTCCCCAACTTACAACTTCAACTGAACCCAGAATTTCCGTTGCTAAGCAAGACGGTTGAGTTTTGGCCCATTTTACGACCTTTCTTGTCACGGTCATTAACTGAATCCCTGCCGTTGTGAGTAAACCCGGTCGTTATCTGGCTTCTGCACTTTGCTTGTCAGAAGATGAGCAATCCCATGACCCCGGGACACTGCAACCGTCATAAATACGAGTCGGTCGCCCAGCGTCTGAATTTTGAGTACGTGGCCACAGGGACGCTACAACTGTGGGAGAAAAGGGTTATAAACTCCCTTTTTTCCGTGCCCCCTGTGACTTCGAACGGCCGCTAAACGAATAGTCGTTAAGCCGAGGACTATCTGCAGAACTGCAATTCTTTCGGTTTTATCGGAGGGCCTGCAAACACCGTCCGAAAAACCCCACACAAAACAACGAAGCGCCAAGCTTGAACTTTCCCCTCACGACTGCAGCCTCCATTTTGATTATTATTATTTTTTGACCAAACCGGCGGTACAACTCGCTTATCTTTGCTTTCTTTCTTTTACTTCTTATTTTCAAAGGCAAATGAAAGGTGAATTTTGACAAGCCGGTGAGACGGACGGCTTGTCATTTTGAAAATTGGGGTGGTTTTTTTTTTTTTTTCCTGAGTCCGTCTGGGTTTTATATTTCTCTTGTTCGTCCAATATGGCTCCCGGGTGTGTGTGTGTGTGTGATAATAATACAAGGTGTATTCAAAGCCATTTCCTCCGATACGGCTGTTTGTTTCGCGATTGCTAAAATTGCTCTTAATCTAACTGTCCATCAGCAAATACATCAGCCTCCCCTTTCCTAAACACATTATAATCCAAACCATTCAATCTTAAGATTTTTCTATTTTTCTTGTAAGATGCGGGGTGATTTGAATCACTCCACTCGGCCGCTTAAAAAAAAAAAAGAAACAGGTTAAAATCAAATTCTCATCTGCCTTTCTACGGGGTCTTTTTACACATGGGCCTTACAATCATTCGTTTAGCGACCAGGCACTGAACAAAGGGACCGTTTTCACACTTAACGACCGTCGCGGCATCACGGTCACGTGATCAAAATTCGGACGCTTGGCAACTGGCATGTACTTATGACGGTTGCAATGCGATCGCCGTCTGTCAGCTTCCCAGAAGGCTCCCAATAAGCAAAGTCAAACGGGGGGAGGGAGTGATTCGTTTAATGACCGAATCGCTGAACCGCAGCGGCCAAGGATGTCGCCCAAGGGAGCAAAACTCACTTAACAACCGTCTTGCTTTGCAATGGTGGTCGTTAAGACGAGGACTCCCTGTACTGAGTTGGTTAAACACTGGGTGAAGGTATCCCACCTCTTGATAACACCCACTGTTGGATGGTCGGGAAAAGGTGAATTTCCAGACGGGGCTAAATTCTGGGGATTATCCAGCATTATTGACACCGTGAGCCATTTGCAAACTTGGTTTATTTGTAAATGGTGGTTTGGTGGCTCAGTTGCTCAACCAGAGAAGCATCTCTGGGATCCTGCCCATGCTTGCTTAAAATCATCTCAATTTTGCTCCAGATGTTAAAGGATGAGTTTTTGGGACATGGCCATCTTCTGATGCCCCCTCCCATCCTGCTTAAGCGGGGGGGGGGGGGGGCTGGACTACTCCAAGGTCCCTTCCAGCTCTATTCTATTCTATTCTATTCTATTCTATTCTATTCTATTCTATTCTATTATTATTTCCATATTTTCTATTCCTTTCTATTCCATTCCATATATTCTATTCTATTCTATTTCCATATTTTCTATTCTATTCCATTCCATATATTCTATTCTATTCATTTCCATATTTTCTATTCTGTTCTATTCCATATATTCTATTCTATTCTATTCTATTTCCATATATTCTATTCTGTTCTATTCCATTCCATATATTCTATTTTATTCTATTCTATTCTATTCTATTCTATTATTATTTCCATATTTTCTATTCCTTTCTATTCCATTCCATATATTCTATTCTATTCTATTTCCATATTTTCTATTCTATTCCATTCCATATATTCTATTCTATTTCCATATTTTCTATTCTGTTCTATTCCATATATTCTATTCTATTCTATTCTATTTCCATATATTCTATTCTGTTCTATTCCATTCCATATATTCTATTCTATTCTATTCTATTCTATTCTATTCTATTCTATTCTATTCTATTCTATTCTATTATTTCCATATTTTCTATTCCATTCCATATATTCTATTCTGTTCTGTTCTGTTCTATTCCATTCCATATATTCTATTCTGTTCTATTCCATTCCATATATTCTATTCTATTCTATTCTATTCCATTCCATATATTCTATTCTATTCTATTCTATTCTATTCTATTCTATTCTATTCTATTTCCATATTTTCTATTCTATTCTATTCCATTCCATATTTTCTATTCTATTCTATTCTATCTCACCCCCCCTCCCCAAGGCTGGGAACTAAAGAAGGGAGATTTACAGAACACCCTCGCAAACCTGCCCTACGCCACTCCTTTTTAGCAAGCAAGATGTACAAGATGCATCGCATGCTTGCGGACTACACCACCCAGCAGCCACAGCCCGCCAGGGAGGGGGTGTCCCTATGCAATTTGCAGAGGGGGGGCTGGTGGTCCTGATTCCGGGATACTGCCTGGAGCCCCCCTCCCCAACCCCTTTCCACATCACAGCCTTACATACATACATACATACATACATACATACATATATATATATATACACACATTATTAAGCCCACCATCCCTTTTCTGTTCATTCCTCCACTTGGTGGAGTGAGGAAGAACTGGGGAGGAGGGGGGGGGGAGAAGGAGCAAATTGTGCTCGCTTCCTCTTTCCTCCCCCCCTCCCTTTTCTCCCCCCCTCCCCCTTCCGCAGGGTGGTTAGTCGATGCAAATTGTCTCATTAAGGAGAAAAGGAGGCGGGAGGCGTAATTAAAGGGCTGCTGCATATTTATTGCGGGGAGGCAGACATACAAAGGTGGGGGGGGGCGCGCGTGTGGAGGAGGAGGGAGGGGGAGGAGGAGGAGGAGGACGGAGAGAAAGCGGAGAAGCAGCGATGGGGGAAAGACAAGGAATGAGACACCCAGACACACGCATTTGTGTGTGTGTGCGTGTGTACGCGTTTGGAGAGCACTCCCCGCCGCGTGCAAGAGCCCCGTGCAAAAAAGAAGGCCGTTGGAAAGAGGCAGGGGAAATCCGACACGGGTGGGATGTGGGGGGTGGGTGGGGAAAAGACACGCGAAAAGAAGTAGCGAAACTCTCTCGCCGAAGCGGCGCGTGCGAACGGGACCCTCTCTGCCTTTATTCTAGAGACACGCGCGCGCGGGAAGCGTCTGCACCTGGCGGAGGCA